ATCTAGCAACCTAGAAATAAATATCAACATAACTAGGAAACTCTTAGAAATATTACTAATAAATCAAAACAAACTAAAAAAATCTATACTCCAAATCTACTAATTACTCCAACACAACAACATAATCCAACTACTATTGATAACAATATTAATACAAATATACAAAAATGGTTTATACAAAATTACTCTATTCTTTTATCTTTTAACTAACTCTTATTTCTAAATTCAAGGTTTTTTCTTCTTCTTTTTCTTTAATTAGTAGTAGTTTTTTCTTAATTAACTTAAACTAGTTTATAAATAGAAAATTGAAAGTAATATATTTTACTAACTGGTGCATATATAGAAATTCTAACAGTAGTTTAGACTTAATATCACCTTGATATTTACTATATAAACTATTACTTTCTATATTTAATATATTAAATAAAAAAAAATAAAAAATAATAATTCTTAATTTTCTTAAATATAAAGTATTATTTTATATATTAAAAGAAAAAGGTGATAAACATAACATCAATTATAATAAGATCTAGCTTGAACAAAAGAACTACCTAATAAAAAATATAGTCTCTGTATTATTTGAACTTTTGAGTAAGAAATATAATACAGATAGAATAGAAATCAGTAATATTCTTTAACAATACCTCAAATTGACTAAAAATACTAGGTTACTCTACTGAGACCTAGTTCAGAGTACATGTTTCAACAAAAGAATATACTAAAATTATCAGTGGGCTAATATATAATTTTTTTTTTACTAAATTTATTATAGCTGTTTTTATAATTCTAGAATATCTAAAAAAAATTTTTTTCCAAAATCTCATTGATCCTAGGATTGATAAGATTTTGAAAAAGAAAAATTTTTTAAGTGTTTCAGAATTATGAAATAAGAATAATTTTAAAATAAATTTTTTAATTTTGTAGAAAATAGTCTAACATGCCAGAGTGTTTAAGTCACTTTATGCAAAGAAAGATAAATATATTAAAGGATATAATGTTGAAAAAATAAAAAAGTTGTTAGTAAACAATGAAGTTTATTTATTTGAATTATCTGATATATTGAGTAAAAGAAACAATAAGAAAAATCTTTATATTAATATTAATGATATTTTCTGGAGGTCTTCCAAGATATATATATTAGTTATTCTTTTTAAATATTAACTTTAAAACTGATTTAATTCTGTATATAGAATTAAATTAGTATTGGAGTTGAATTAACTATCATTATATAATTTAATTTAAGTTAGTTTATATTTTCTATATTTAGTTATTAAAACTTTTATATAATATTCTCAACCAAGCTACAGAACTCTAGTATAAATATCTATATTAGACTGTAGAAATATTAAAAGTAAATAGGCTAGATAATATTCCTAATTAGGCTGTAGTTAGAGCTAAAAAAAATTGAAGAAACTAAAGAGATTGCAGAAGATGAAGTAATTATGGAAGGTAAAGTAATCAAAAAAGATAAAGTAGTTGAGAAAGATAAAATAATAAATAGAAATAAAATACTCGAGAAGACTGACAAAAGTAATAGTAATTATAATAGTGAAGATGAAAGAAATAATGAGAGAAGTAATAATGAAAGCTGTAAATAACTAGTTTCTTCTCTTGAAAAAGCTCAACAGGAAAAAAAAAGAGTATAAATTTTTTTTATATTATTAAATTTAATATATATTTTTATTTAATTAAATTAATTATTATATATTAAAGAATTAATAAATCAATAAATAGATTAACAAAAATTTGTTAGTATTATAAATATTCATTATTAATTTGACTATTAAACTAAGGTTGAATATCAACTGATAGTATTCTAATTTTTTATAAATTCAATAACTGAATATATTCTAAATTATTTTAAAAATTAGTTACTGATTGTTTTAACTGATTTAATATAAATTTGCTATTCGAACTTAGGTAATTATTAGCTAATTTCTATTAGAAATCAGTACTTAAAAGTATACTGATTTTTCATAAAATTTAACTACTAAATGCTTTCTGAATTATCTTAAAAATTAGCTACTGATTGTTTTGGCCAATTCAACATGAATTCACTTTTTGAAATTAGAGTGATTGAAGGTTAAATTTTATTAAAAATTAGTACTTAAAATTTAATGAAAATACTGTTTATAAGTTGATTTCTAATAAAATTCAGCCTTCAATCACTCTAATTTCGATAGTTAAATTCATATTGAATTAGCTAAAACAATTAGTAGCTGATTTTTATATATTCAACTCGTAAATATTTATAAAAATATTAAATATTCTTTATTTTCTTAGCTTTTTTAAATTATCTTAAAATTCAATTAAGTAAACTAAGTTTAGGCTATTAAGTAAAGTTGTTTAGTATAAAATTTTACTCCAAAATAGTTTAATTTTATATTTTTTAAACTAAATTTTATCAAGATATTATATATTTTTTTTTATTTAGTTTTTTTTAATATTTTAAAATATAGGTTTTCAAAAGTAAAAATTTGAAAATTTTGCTAATCACAGGTTTTGAGATATTTAGCAAAAACATTTTCATTATACAAAATCAAAACAATCTAAAAATAGTCTATTCAAGATTAATCTAGTTAAATAAATTTTGTTTAAACAGAATTATTAGATCTATAAATTATTTTTAAATCAAATATATATAATATTTGCATAAAAATCTATTTTTAGATTATAGTATCAAAAACTTTTAACTATTATATTTCAAAAATTTATTAATTAACAAACTTTAAATATTAAGTAAAAAATATTTGGTATTAAATATTATATCTGATCTATCAAACAAATTAATTTTTAAAAAAAATATTAAATTCTCTATAATTTAATAAAAATATTTGAAGTTTATTTAACAAAAATATTATATATATATATAATAAAATAATAATAAAAAATTACTATTTATCAATACTAGTAGTCATCACCAGAATTTTTTGTATAATATGTAAATTAATAATAATAAACTCTAAAAAAAAATATTAATTTTATATACTTTAGAGTTAGGATGAGACCTAGAATTTTATCTAGATATTAGAATAGATATAAAATTTAACAAGAAATTTTTTTTTTTGTTAATATATTGAAGGTAGAAAAATTTGTACTAGGTTATGCAAGTATTATTGAGTCAGGCACAAAGCGTCTATAGTTACAGAAGTGTTTGACAATTTTAAGCCAAGCACAGAATGCTTCTAGGCAAATGTGTCATGTGAGCACACTTCTGTGTTAACAGGCATTTTGTGCCTGGCTTAAAAGTGCCTAGCACTTCTGTTTAGCACTTTTAAAGCCAAGCACAAAGTACCTGTTGGGCATATTATAGCCAGGTACTTTTAAGACTAGTTACTAAATGTCTGTGCCTATTTTTGTGCCTCTGGCCTAAAATTTTTTGCAGGACATGGGCAAATGCCGGGTTGCAGAACCCTAGTTTGCAGAAAGCCCTCGCCTGGGCACATCTAGTAAACCACTTTTCAAGCCATTTTGCGAACTGAAAAATAATTTAGCTTACGAAGGTAAAATGGTACCCAGCTTTGGAGGCGCCGCATTTTACGAGTAGACGTTAATTTATTATGTTCTTTATACAGTTAGATTCATAGAAATTTCAGCATTGTCTTTGTTTTAAGGAACGGTTTATTATGACTAACATTCTAAACGAAATTTTAAAATGTAATTGCGTCGATTTTTGTGATCGACGAAAAATCATATGATAAAATTTTATGTGACAACTGATATTCACGATACCAACATATCTAAGGACAATTTTTTCGCATAATTATCCAGTGCTTTCTGTTGAATATTTTGCGACGATAAAAACTCATTTAAGAAAAAACAAAATATGCTAAATTTATTTATTTGTTTATTTTTCTAAATATCGTATATAAATATATTTATAAATTATTTATAGGAAAAAAATATATATAGGAAAAATATATATATAACCGCAAATTTTAGGATCAGGTGTAACGTGAAACAAATGCTAGTTTTTTAAAGAAATCACTAATAACTCAAAATTTTGATTATAAAACCATCTTCTACACTCTAAAAAAAAAAAATTCCTCGCTAAATTTTGCATGTTTTAATACCTAGATAAAATCCCAAGCCTCACCCTAACCCTAATCTTAATCGTGGGTTTTATTTTTATAAAAAAAATTATTTTGATAATCACATACCTGATCTTAGTTACGGCTACATGGCTACAAATAAATTAATTCTTATTTATATCGTATATAAATATAAATTATTTATACTGTATATAAATATAAATTATTTATTTTGTTAGTCAACCTTTTTTTTTTTCTAATAATTTTGCTATAATGGGTTACTGCCCTGTATGAGTGCGTGAAACCAGATTCGGGCTTTCAATAGTTACCAGACTCAGCCCCCTGCAAAAATTTGATTAAAATAAATAATAAAAGGCATGTTTTTTTATTCGTTTTAGATGACACTATTTATGAAACCGACGTTATTATATAAGAATATTTATATTTAACTGTTACATGAATATAGATTCTAAGGAAATTTTATCGCTATCATATCAATTGATCAATTGCATGTTCATAATGACTAAAGCGATTTATGTCACGTAAACCTCTAGGAAACTAATTGTAAACATATACTGTAACTACAACATACTTTGCTAATGTTTAAAAGCCCAAAAGTCTGGTTTTTCCATATATAATACTACCCGGCTTAAATATGTGGTATTTATGTACAGTATGCTCTAATATATTTATCTGTTCTAATTAAGGATTGCCTCCTTAAATGATAAAAAAAAACCTTAAATTGTCGTTTCCTGCTTAAACAAACATTTTCTATAGAGTAACTTTTGCAGTCCATTGATTTCATCGAAAAAATGTTCTTTAAATTTATTATTCTATTAAAAGAACATTGAATAAAATTTTCTATATAAAGAGTTTAAATTTTGTCTCGAAAATGGTTCTTGCTTTCTCCCTATAAACAAAATCACTTAATTACATCATTTGGGAAACTCTTTTTTTTTAAAAAAAAAGATGGTTATGTCAAAGACAATAGCTATTTTCCTAGTCTCTATGATTATAGTAACATATTACATTGCCTGTATGTGTTAAATCGATACGTATGCATATTTGCTATATATTTATTTATTTATTTATTTATTAATCAAACATAAATTATTTTGCGCACAGTCTCTGCTGCCCAAACGCCAACAAGTGCAGCCCCTGTTGCTACACCAACAAGTGCAGCCCCTGTTGCTACACCAACAGGTTGCCCTATGGTGGGTCATAATTGTACTGGCACAACACCTTGTTGTAGTTTTTTCGGTACTTGTGGATCTGGTAGTGTAGAATGTGGTCCCGGATGTATTCCAGAATTTAGTGAATTCGGTGCTTGTAGTTAACAAACAATTCTATTTATTGGTTGATTTCTAAATTTATATCATATTACAACTTTTCTGATAGCAACCTCGTTAAAAATAACTTATAACTTTTGGTTTCATCTTTTCAACCGTGAAAAAAGTTTTAAGGATAATATATTACGTTGAATCATTAAAACCACTTATTATCCCCAGAAAATAAACCTGTAACCAAAAAAAATTCAGCTTCAAGTTATCTACGTCTTTAAATATTTTTTGTATATTTATCTTTTTTTAAATCAAATAAATATATTCCTTAGGTTCTTTACATATTTTGGCATCAGAATTCGTCTGCTTAGTATTATTGAATTATTTAGTTTGTTGGATTTATTAATGCCATATATAATACAAATTATCATGAAAACAATCTTTTTGCAAAGAAAATTGGCCTTTAAGTGTTTAGTAAACTTGTTTCGATTAATCATTTACATAAAATTTTTACATTCTTAATATGCTAACATAAAATTTTTACAAATATTCTTAATATGCTAACATAAAAGTATTAATAATATTTTTAAATATAAAACGAAATGGAAACTGGTGCACTCAAAATTCCTGAAAATTTAAAATCTTCCAAAATTAATTGCACAGTACTTATTTTTTTTTTTTTTTTTTCAGTTTAAAGAGGGAGTTCTATGCTCCGATATTTATTATTTAAGACTTACAATCCTATA